CACACAGAGACGAACGCATATTGGGGCAATTTCGTGGGAAAAGCGGGAGGGACAGAGGCCGCGACATGCTCCGTCCCGCTCGCTCTGTCAAAGAGGAAAAAGTGCGGTGGCACTGAGTAAAATAAATAAATGAAACAAAACAAGCTTAGCAACAACATGGAAACTTTACACAAACTTTTGTGCCACGTTGTTGCAGTTGTTGTCGCCCGATGAGCCCGATAGATGTGTCAATAAAATCAATATTTGCCCTGCCTTTGCGACTAAATGTTCAATTAGCGCATCAATCAAAGACGCTTGAGCGAGTCAAATGGGAGTTCGCCAGTGTGTTTTGAGCCACTTGATACCGGGCTTATGGGATGATTTAGGAGTAATATTAACTGTGTGATTAGACCGCAAATATTTAACTAATTAGCTAATAAGTTAAGTCCACATAGGGCCAAAACGCTGGGTACCCAGCAAATTGAGTTCAATTGGGTGAACTGTGCAAATAAATTCTGCTGGCTGATTTAGCTCGGTAAGAACACCAATATGCATTAAGTTAAGCTCCTTAACCAAATGTCAAGAAAGGTCGTCCAAGTAAAACATTTTAGACCCAATTTCCCTATATCAAAGGGGATGATTAAAAGCGTAAATGTATTTTGCGGACGGCTATAGGCATAACTAGATTTTGGAATTTTACGACTCACCTTGACTCCTGGTTCTAAAGCAATAAAGTGGCTTCCAGCACAGTCACGAAATTATTGAACCTAATTTGAAAACTAAAAAGGGGAAGTAAATAAATTATTAAGGGAAAAATAAGTGCATAACTTTAGTCAGCAACAGCTGCATGTGTAAAATAATAACTTTGTTAAAAATAGGCCAATTTACCCAATTATATGCAATCAAAAGTTGGCAATAAAAACTTAGTCCGTGATCAACAACTTTGATGATATGCAAATTGCTTGCCTTGCAAGGACAATGTTCCCCGCATTTGTAAGGCTTTCATGTAATATATGAGATGGATTTCCCCTGTGATTTATCTTTCATCTGATTTCGGTTGAGTCTGGCACAAGCCTTGACTTGCAGATGCAGCACACAATGATATTGGGGCTCTGCACTTAATCAAATATATGGTTGACCACTGCCTCGGCCCCAACTCAATTGCTCGGTTCGTCTGTTGACGGCGATTGCACGTAATGCGATTTTAGCTGCATTAACAGGACGAGCGAAATTGCAATCATTTATGCGCATTTAAAAGCATTAAGCGCGTAGCATTCGCATTAATCATACGCCACGTGTGCCCGCCCCCTCGTCGTCTGCTTATCGACGAGGCTGGCCTCGTGGCATGGGTAATCATTTGCCATGTTGACTGATTTGCAGCAGCAAAATCAGCTGGACATCTGCTGCTGACCACGCAGCAGCACTTTCGTTACGACAGCGCCACCCCCGCACACTGGTCCAGACTGATTTGTTTTGGCATGAACTCTAGTATAGTTTTCAAATCTATAGTATCACGTGTTTCATATTTTTAATAAATGTATAAATTAGATTTATACTTTTAATTAAAAACAAGAGCTAACCCTATAGTCGACTGTCCCAACTATCAGATACGGGTTAGTCAGCTAAAGGGAGTGCGAGGGAAATGGAGATATGCATGCAGCAAATCGGTGGTTTCCGAGATTGCACTCTTTATTTGCTTATAAGTCTTTAATGAATTGGTAATTTAAACAATTTGATTTGAAATGTACCTGGGTATTGGCAATCAGAACAAAACCCCATTTACACTTTTACAATATATTAAAAAGTGTGGTCGCTGCATCAAAACCCTTGGAATCTGTATGCCGCATACCAACTTTGTAGATTTTATAGTTTCCGAGAACTCAGCGTTCATACGGACGTACAGATGGACTTGGGTAGATCGATAGATAAAATATATATATATACTTTATAGGGTTGGAAAAGATTCCTCCTACCTGCTAACAACTTTCCAACGAATATAATATAAGTATCTTCAATTTAGAACATGCTTAAAATATATTAATAATTAGTATTATTAAAAGGAACATAAACCAAGTAAACGAATAGTCTTAAATTTGTGGCCATATGAGTGTGTAATAAAATTGAAACAATAAGTTACTGATATTTTTTTTGAACAGACAAAAACAAATAATATCTGGACCAGTGGGCCAGTTGAAGCACTGCCACAAAGTCGCACAAAGTTATGCAATGAAACTTGCCAACTGAGAGTGCGTGAGTCCGAGTGCTCGTGTGTGTCCGTGATTTCTGCGTTTGTGCCTGTTTGTGAGCGAAGGCAAATTTATGGCTAAATTTATGTGGCCCGAGACCTCTCAGAGGCTATCAGTGGACCCCAACGAGTGTGCGACCCTTCATATATGGACACTCCCCCACCGCTGGTCGAGTAAATATCCATGTACAGGGTCTGTGGCGTAAATAATTCACAGTGAATTTTTAACATATTTTCAATTGAATAATTTATGAGCACAGAAACAACCTTCTGCTGCGGTAGGCAAGTCATCGGGTTCGGTATAGATACATTAGCTGGTGAGTTTGGGATCGACTTAAATGACATTCTAAAGGAACAATTTACTGTGATATAGGGTAAAAATGCTTATTTTGTATTGAAAAAAGGAAAACATAATGTGTTCTTTCTTTTATACAAATATATTAATACAATTAAAAAATATAGACCCTATATCGCCTACTCAACTAAGTATTTTTCTACATTTTTGTTCTACTGCGTTTATTTAAAGGAACCCCACTCTGACTTAAATTGTTTGACCGTATAACGATATGTATGTGTACTTTATTCCGGAAGAAAAGGCGTTTAATTAGTGACCGGCAATTAAAGTCGGATAAGTAAAATACAACCAGTTGCGCCGTTTGCTCAATTTCTGATGGAAGGACTTCGGTAGAGCCATAAATTTTAATGGCACATCGGAATAATTAATGCTTGCCACACATGCAATATTTTTAATTACTTTGTCGTCTCATTTATTTTTGGCCACAAGGCACAAAAACTTGCCCACAGAAATGTGCTGCTAGTTGCATGAAACGTTGATTAAATTATAATTATTATAAATGGCCATCGTTTGTGGCTAATTTAATGAGCCAGGTTGTTTAAAATTAATTATAAAAGCTAAGTGCTCAGAGTGACCAGCCAAAGATAGTGTGTCCTTCAAAGTCACACCTTTGGATATATATACATTTTGTAAGTTTATGCCTAAATTAGACAAGTCACCTTGAGTAGATAATTCGGGTTGCCCTGGACTCTATATATGTGGTTGTGCTGCTTGGAGATTAAACCACTAAGCACATATTATTGGGATTATCAATCTACTCAACCTAATAATATAACGCACAATTCCGCATTGATGATCTCCCAGAAAGTGCTCATATTGCTCATACGCCACGTTGCCACAGTCCATGTTATTTCCCATCGGGGCACTCATAAGTATGATGGTCCCATCGGACCCACTCACATGTCCATTCTCATCCACTTGATATTCGGATTCCTATCGCCACTTGGCATTGACCCACAAATTGCACAATTTTCGTTAACTGCCCAATTTGAATGTCACCGGGGTTCATCGAGGACCCATCAGTGGACCCGGTCCGAGTTCGCTGCCTTCGATAATGTGTCTGCTCACTCGGCCAGAGCCACCTATAAATAAAACACAGATTTGTAGCCATTTTGTTCCACAAAAAAATTAACTTAATTTGAAATGCGGCGGTCCGAAAGAGAAAAGAGAAAGCCGAAGCCAAAAGCCGCAAATATTTTTACGCTTCAGCGCGCCTTGTACGTGTATGGCACCGCGTATGAGTGTGGGTTCGGCCGCCTCGGCTGTGAGTGTGTTGGTGCTCCTTTCGTGGTGTGAGGTTTTCGACATTAGGCATGCATTCAAGTTCTTGGGAAAGTCGCCCCAGAGTATCTTGGCTCCCCAAAGCCTGCTAGGATCGCAAAACTTGGGATGTTAAATGGGCGTGGCATCTGCGCCACGTACACGCGAAAACCGACTTGGGAGGGAAAGTGTAGGCCAAGAAAGGAGAGCTTTTAACTGGGTTATTTTAACTTGTTTAGCAATTAAGCTGAGGAAAGTGAGCAAGAAAAAGGACAATAAAAAATCTAATTCCCATTTAAAAGTTTTTAATATCAGTCTCAGTTAAAATTTGAATAGATTATCGACATGTTTTGTTAAGCAAATCGCTCTTACCATCCAAAATCCGGGAAACACTTAATTTCTTGAGATATCAAAACCTATTATTATAGGCATGATTTCTTAGACCGGGATCACTTAGGTTTTGTTTGATTCCCTTTTGGTTTGTACAGTGTAGTCAGGGCTAGACGAGTTATTTATAGATTTATGCACCCTCACGCCCAGTCCCGAATAATCATTGCCTCTGGATCCGAGGCTTTGGGCAAAAATCGCTTGGGCCAGCAAATAGTTAATTCGCCATCTGTGTGTGCTTGTGGGCTGATGGTGTTTTTGTGGACCCGTGCGGATGAGCTGTAGTCCACATTATTGCAGCGCGACTGAGCAAACTACTTTGCCTGGGCTGCGCCGACCCTATTTCCTTCCAGGCCACAGGGGGAATCTTTTATATGTTCTCCGGTCTCAGCTTTCGCATGCTTCTGGCGCACATCCCCAAGTCATGTTGGGTATCCCGTAACGTGTCCTGGCCTGGCCAGTAATTAACCCCTTTATTAATATCCCAGCTGTAAAAGACTCATATGAGCTGGCTGACTGTGTGTGCTTGTTCTACTTGCCCAGGAAACTTTCTCAATCTCAAGAGTATCAGAGTTTGGATCACATATTTTTAGAAATTTAGTAGTACATTTTATAAAAATCATTGCATTCCGCGTTGGCTTTTACCGATACAGACAAGCTTTAAATAAATTTAAATCACGAAAATAAGTTTTTTTTGATTTTCATATATAGTTAACAAAAGATAGCAAAAATAATGAACCTTTTTTAATTCTTGGATTTCTAGATCACTTGATTTCCCAAATTTATAAACAAACATATTTCGAGTTCCCTATGGTGTTAACTAATGGAACATGAGTCTGGTTAAGTACACTGAACCTACTTTACTTAGCCCCTGTAAACTTTCCCGTAGAATGGTGCTGTTGAGAACACCCCACAACTTTCCATTATCTGCTATGCCCATCGAGTACTTAGGGTATCGGTTTCCCCGTACAGGACGCCCCACAAAGTTTCGCCCCATTGTTTGCCGTTACCAGGTGTGTAGCTGTTTGCCCTGGCAGTCCTTGCCAATTACCCGAGCCGTTGATTCGCCAAACAAAGGATCTGAGATGGGAAAGGTGTTAAGTCATGCTAAATATAGTTGCTCGGCAGTTAATTAACGCACAGAGACATTTACAAACAGCGTAATATCAAAGTCAGGGCTGCATCCGGTGGGGTTCCTGCGGCTCCGGGTGAATCCTCCGCTCAGTCTGTTGCTCCAGCCTCCGATCCCGTTCCCGATCGCGGACGCGCTTCTTGCGAAGGTGGTAACTACAGCAGGCCTCACCATCCTTCTTTGGCGACTTATCTTCTTGGTTACAGCCCTTTACACGAACTCTGTTGCGTTCGCCATTCCTAGTCGTATTTTCAATCGGCTCCAGCCCCCTATCCCGGTTCGTATCACGATTCCTTGCCGAATCTCGGGGATGCTGCCTATCCCTATTACGATTCCGTTCAGTAACACACCTTTCTTTATCCCTGCCCCGCTCCCTGACCTTTTTACCCCCTTGCTTTTCCTGCGGAGCCTGCGTTTCCTGCTGCAGAAGCACCCAGTCGTACAGGGAGTCATTCAGCAACGTCTGGTTCTTGAAGAGCACCACGAAAAGCTGGCGCAGATAGAAATAGTCCGGATTTTCGGCGAAGTGCAGCTTGCGGCAGTACTTCAGGTACACGTAGAACTCAGTGGGCAGGCCGGCGCAAATGGCTTGGAGCGACATATTCGCCTTGCACTCGGCTATCTTCTCGTACTTCTGGACCTGCGACTGGGCCCGGATGCCCTGCCAGGGCAGACGACCCCGCTGGAAGTAGAGCAGCAAGTAGCCCACGGACTCGAGGTCATCCCGACGACCCTGCTCCGCGTAGTGGGCCCGCACACTGGCGTAGCGAGCCGTGCCCACCAGATCCTTCTTCTCCGAGTAGCCGATGTGCTTCTGGGAGCGCAGGCTGTAGAACTTCTTGGCCAGCCCGAAGTCGATCATGAAGACCTGGGTGCAGTGGCGCCCGAGGCCCATCAGGAAGTTGTCCGGCTTGATGTCGCGGTGGATGAAGCACTTGCGGTGGAGCAGCTCCACGCGCGCCAGGATCTGGTCGGCCAGCATCAGGGTGGTCTTGATGCTGAAGGACCGCGCGCAGAGGTTCAGGAGGTCCTCCAGGGTGGGACCCAGCAGGTCCATCACCATGACGTTGTACACCCCCTCGGTGCAGAAGTGCCGCACGTGGGGGATGCCCTCTCCGCCCCGCAGGACCTCGTAGATCTTGGCCTCACGGGGCAGCAGGGGATAGTTGACCGATGCGCTCTCCAGTTTAATGGCCACCTTCTCGCCGTACTTGAGGCCCTCGGCCCGGTAGAGCTCCCCGAAGGAACCGTTTCCAATGCGACTCAGCAGGCGGTACTTCCCCGCCACTATGATTTCCGGCATGGATTGCTCCCCTTCCGAAGATCTTTGGGATCTTTGGCCGTTGTCATGGTTACGATGCGGCTTATGGGGTGGTGATGGATGAGGCTGCTCTGTGCGGATCTGGGTTTGTGGGGGATTGGCGTCGGGGCTGCTCTGCCAAAGCCTCTCGTCCTTGCCACGCCTCCTTTCCGGTTCTGCCATGCGTTTTGGGGACTTTGCCGAACTTCTACGCTGGCAGTGGAGAAATGTTTCTGGCATTCAATTGTTGCCACTTTTGATAAGTATGATGTGAAGTATGAGTGACTTTTCCCAGGTCTTCGATCTGAGCCCGAAAATAAGGTGAAAATTAAATACTTCCCAGTTGAAACACTTATTTAATGAAGCAGTGGCTTAACCATTTTAATTAAACTCAATACTGAGGCTTTATTAAATGTCAGGAATTTTGTGCATTTATTCAGCTAGAGAAAATGAAATCACCGCACATCCAGCCATCCCACATCACGTCCACTCTTCAGTGTCAGTTGGAAATATTTCATTTTGCTGAAATTATTTTCGCAGCAAGTTTTCGTTCTTTCTGGTTTGTTTTCATCCATTTTTTGGCAGTTTAATAAACTTTGGCACTTATTTTCCAATTAGCTGTAGCGAAGTTATGCTGTCGAACCGACATCCTCCCTAACGTCGCACATGTAGTTCGTCCTGTGGCGGGGATGCTCTGCCCGGAACCGGATTAATTTACTAAATTGATTACGTAACCTGACTGGCTCTATCATCTTCACATCCACCGCAGACATCGCCATCAAATATGGTATGTGCATCACAGCTGCCAGTCACTTGAATTGCTCGGCTGTCTGTTCGAACGGGGACCTGGAATACTTGCCACTCGGGCTCTGCAAACTGCACTTTCAATTAGGAGAATTTGAACCGCCTACCATCTACTCTTTTTCATACCCACACCGACGGAAAGTGAGGACGAAAAATACTTTGCTTTTGTCCCGAAATGCCACATTCCGAACTCTGAAGCACCCCTCTATTATCTATTTTGCCATTCGAATGCTTCTGAGTTGATTAGATTTATGGGCAATCCGATTGTAAGCAGTCATAATTAAATTGCACAGCCCAAATTCCGCTGGATTCGTTCCAAAAATGTTTGGTAAGCAGTATGTGAATGGGAAACCGCGCATAATGCAGAGTTTGAATGGCAAAATAGTTTTGCAAACTAGGCACAGTTGTCATTTACATAAAAGCTGTGCTAAATATAATTGTTCCACCCGTTTTAGGTTCAGTATTAGTTTGAAACACTGATTCCTCTTTGTTCCTAATATGTTATTGACATACTTTTGTCGCTCTATGAATATTATTACTTTGTTTCCCAAAATTGTATTACATAAACATTAAAATTTACGGGTCAGTGGGTCTGATCTGCATATTTTCCCGCTTATAAGCGGCCATAAAATGAATTAATTGGCCACCTTGACAAATTGTAATGTCGAATCTACTTCCGCAGTTCTCGGGGAAGATTCCTCTGCGGCTGGAGTAGCGACAATCCAGACAACTAAATGCGAGGATCCGGCCATAAGCCCTTATTTATGCCATGCGAATGAGCACATCAAGCGGATGGGAGACAAGCCGGGAACAGGCCCACAAAGCCACGTTAGTCCCGACTACTCACATGGGCACCTCCCCGTCTTATCCGTATCCCCCATATCTAGCAGAAATGGCTCCAAGCCCGCACGGACCACCCATCGCATGCAATACTGCTGCTTTTATGGTTGCTTTGTAAGAGGCTCTAGGAAGATGTGGCATTAACTTAAAGCTTATGGCGCATTAATTTTAATTAAAATACTGCCACAGCAGCCAGCGGCAATAAAAAGCAATGTTATAACTATCCAATCCCGACCACTTCACCCCTTCCCCGCCGCTCTTTTGCAACTTTGAGTGCTGGAAAAGTTCATCACGAAGCCTGTAATGATTAGCCATTTAAAATGACGGCGCACTTTTCCTATGAACATGCCCAACTGAACTCTTTTTGCCACTTATCGCATCTTGTTTTTAATTTGCGAGTGTCCCATCAATGGCTCGTTTCTCACACTACTGCCGTGGCAATTGAAAACAGAAGTCCCCTCCAAACCTATCCCCACCTTGGCCACGCCCCGTAATCCTTTATGGTGGGTTGTCAAAGGTTATGACCAAATTGTCGGCACATGCTCCGCATATTTCATAGTTTTCTCCTCTTCAGTTCCCAATTTTTCGGTTGTTGTTCGGTTGAAGCCTCAAAACTTTTTGGACAGCTGAATCATTTACATACACGCTCGTTTGCCAGCCAGCTGGAGTTCTGCGGCCACATGGCGAATGTGTGACGGGATATCTTGGGATCGGGATGCTGTCTTCCCATTCGCATCGACTTATGCATAAACGCCTTTTCGGGGGTGCCGAAAAGTTTTTGTTTGATCCGTCAACAATGGAAGTGGTCTGAAAGTGCGAGAGCATCCATAAGTATTTCAAATCTTAAAGTACATACTAATAATTGCAGTTCTGTTTTTAGGGTAACCTACAGCTGCTAAATGTTGGCAATTCAAATACTTATATGCTTTGAACAGTAAGCATTAACATACCTACTCTCGATATCAGACAAGTGTAATGGTTATTATCGTGCCTAAACAGTTAAATTATATCATAAACGTCTTACATTGCTTACTTTACCCAAATTTTAAGTGAAATAACCAGTGTATGACGGATTCCTCAGGTTCTTATTGCCGTATTTCTTCTCCTCCGCTGAACTCGACTTTTCGCACTTGCTGCTTCTCGCCTTGTAATGCAAATTAGTTCGATATGACTTGCTCGGCTCCCTCCCATGGCAGCCCTACAAAATTGCCTTAATGGAAATTATAATCATCGTGACAATGCGTCACGGCCACGCCCTCCCTCACTTCGAAGGGCGTTCGCCTGATTATCAGGGGCGGCGACAATTTCGCTGACATTGTTGCCAACAAGTTCCGTACGGAATGCGGGGGTACGAAAATTCCTGCACAAAAACTCATTAAAAGCGACGCAGAAGATGAACAGGAATTGCTAAGCAGGCAAGCCTACCCCTATATACACATTATATCTGCGCACATCAAACATCAGCGGGACAGGAAAAGTGTAGGGATGACAAAGGCAAACAATGAGTTGCCAAATTGTTGAGACTCACTTTTTTCCACCTCCCAGCTGCCGGCTACGATAGAGATATAGATGCCAAATTATAGATTAAACAATGACGTGTTCCCGATAACCGACTCCCGACTCACACCGCCCCACGCCCGCCCCAAAGCTTAAATACATATTCAATTTGTTGGCCGCCTTCGGGACACGTACATACAACATTAACATAATTTCGACGCGTTTCGGCAATTTGAACACGTTCAAGAACCGCATCCAAGCGTCCTTCAGCCCACTCCCACTCCCAGTACCAGCACCGTACCCAAAACCCATCCATCCCGTCGATTGTTTGCTATTTTTAAATTCCAAGGGCGTAACTAGAATTTAATTTCTCAACTGCCTAGTCGTGGCTTTGCGATGTCTAGGCTTTCGGATGGAACACGTACATGCACTTGTTTCCTGGGTGGCAGAAGGAAGTATCCCGGTGGAAGGAGTATCACGGGCTGGAATCTCCCAGATCTGGGGTGGGCCCTTCAAGTTAAGCACATCTCAGGACCCAGCTAAGCCCAAAAACAGACATTTGGCATACGCTTGCCGCAAAGTAGGCGCATATGGGTGGTTTCTACTCGATATCCGTTTATTAATATCTCCAAGTGCCAGGTCTGCGTTTAAAAACAAATTAATCTTTGCTCCGGAAACGTAACATTAATCAAATAGATAAGGTGCCTGTTGAGAAAATTGGGGTTTCTCTATCGTTTATGTGGGAGTTTACTCTGAAGATGAGTACACAGGTACATAAAGTACACAGTAATTTTATACAAATCTAAAAACAATGATGATGACCAACTCTCATCTTAACTGGCACTCCAGAAAACGGTTTGGCTTTAATTGGATTGAATCATCTCTTGTTTTTAGAGAACTAAGCTGCCCATCACTTTTTAAGTTAATATCCTAAATTGCACACATGTCCCAACTGATTTGTATTTACCCAGCCATTTAAAGAGACTCTTATGCAACAACTTCCATCCCGCCTTGGCAGGCTTTAATTTAAATCTCTCACGCTTTCACGCATGTGACTGGCGATGTTGTTGTAATTCCTGCCTGCTGCTTTTATGTCAACCAGGTCAAAACATGACCCCGGCCATTAACGAGGGGATCTTGCCCACGCCCCTCCGCAGCGCCAAAACGTTTTAAATTTTTTGCTGCCCTGTGTGTTTTCCCCCGGCTTCCTGTTCTTCATTTTTTATCTCAGCTGCTGTGAAAATCCGATGAAATATCTACTTAGGCACAAGCACGCGGCATGTGTGTGTGTGTTTAAGGACATTGGGCGTGTCTGTGTGTGGGTGCGTGTTTGCATTGGCATGTGTGACTTGGCATCAACTCGTGCGCAAAACAGTTTAAGAAAATTTCATCTGTCTTGCATTTTAATGATTTAATTTTGCATAAGCTCATAGCGTCGACGTCCTTGCCCCGCCTCTTCCGCTTCCGCTTCCCCTTGCTCGCTTATCGGAAGCCAGGATGTGTGGCGCTATCGGGTTTCCCTCGGCTTTCCCTGATTGAGTGACATGTCAGTTGATGACATTAGCCAAAGCCGGCTTGCGTCTAACCGACGTGGGTCAGGCTAATCCGAGGCATTCCCGAATGTCCTGGCAATCAGGATCCTCTCACCTACTTGGCGCAAAGTTTGCCATTCCGGTGTACACAACACGACGCACAATCCTCAAGTGTTGCCATAGTTGGTGGGGTCCGTTTGTCGGCTCTGTTCATCTCGGCAAACTTTGCAACTGGGGCTCCGAGTTCATTATTTCGTTTTCCGCTACAATTTCTCAAAGGATATGCGTAATTTCCGAGCCAAGTGACAGCCGCCTGTTGGGGCAAGGCCCGTGCTCCTGCTAATGATGTCCTTCATGTCAACTGTGAGTTTCGTATTGCTTCCTGCCCGAACGGCCTCCATTCTGCGGCCGGAGGACGCCCTGAACCCAGATGCGACACCCCCATCCAATTCGCACCTTCCGTTGACTTTGGCACGCAAACGAAATGAATCCGGCTCATCAACGTGGAAGTTCTCTGCTGATTTCTGCTGCCTTCACACCCCCAACTTTCGACTCCCCTTTTCCATTTGATTTATCCGGTGCGTGTCCGAGGCGA